TACACCCAAAAGAAATACTTGCTTAAATTGTGAAGAATCCTTAAAAAAAAAATCCTGGATCCAGTCTCAGATCCAGATCACTTCCAGAATCTAATCAATTTGCACTTGTACCAAGGACCACCCCTAAAAAGATTTTCCATGCAAATCCATCCATAACTTTTTGAGCTATGGTACATGTATCTTGTTAACAGACAAACCAACCAACAAACTAACCAAATCTGATGAAAACTTAACCTCCCTGGCCATGTTGGCGGAGGTAATAATTGAAAGGAACTTTTGTGGGTAAATCCCAGAGACCACTTTCCAGATTTCCTGAAAGGAAGTTCCGTGTGATCACTGTGTGCACAGAAATGTCATATAATATTATGTGTACAGTGATTGATGATTAAAAAAGCTACATGTAAGTCGCTGAGACTTTTCTAACTAATCAGTCATGAGTCATGTCTTTATAATCAGTGATTGTGACAGAATTTCCAATTAGTTACAAAATAATCAAGCAGATAAATTATATCGGCTGTTTTATTCATTATTACACAGCACCATTTTCTAAGCGTTTGTGCTTGCATTTGTTTATGGTGTAAATCGAGGACACACACGTGCAACATCATCGGTGAATCGAGGACAGGAACCAATATCGAGGACGACCTCGATTAGAAAACGTGTACAAAACCAAAGAGAGCTGTTGCGAAAAAGTTAGAGTACCGTTACACACAAAGGAAAAGGGAAGAGGAACAAAAGAAAATCCTTGATTTACACCATAAACAAACGTGAGTGTACATGTACATACATGTACAGTGATGCGGGCATTAACTATACCGTACATTCTGTCTAACATCCTTGACATGTGGGAATACAGGCACTACAGTCTACCAATCGTAAGAAACTGAAGGAAATACTTAGTATGTTAAAGGGAAGATACAACATTTGCAAACATAAAGAAAACCGAAATGCTCAAATTATCACAAAATACCTTACTGGATTGTTAGGGAATGACAGTCTAAAGCATCCTGTAAAATTGTGGCTCCTGGTGTGCTGACATTTTCAAGAAAACAGGTATTTTTCCAACACTGGTCAGCCGACTAGCGTTGGAGAAAACTGGCTTTTTTCCAAAACTGCTCCTAAATTTTCGTATTAGTTATTTCACATTTTCTTTTCAATTGATTACACACCTGTGAAGGGGTACAAGCTTGCTAGACTGATTCTCTGACCTTACAATTCCCCAAAGTCTATTAATTACTCAGCTTCATCTTAAGTGGGGTCAGGGAACCAGACTACAACAAGAGCATGATTGGTTTTCTTGGTTTTTCCAGCATCTACAAGCCCAAAACGTGAAACAAGTCAGTTTAACATTATTTACTTTAGCATACTAATCCTCCAAATCCATTTATTTCTGAAAATTGCAGCCAAAGCAAATGTTGTACATTCCTTTTAATTGGGCCAGCATTTTTTCATTTATTGGATTACGAAACATAACAATGTACTGGTACGGTACATGTAACATGAAATTTGGCAGGGTTGGAGGACGGAATAAAAACACAAATAAAATTTGCTCAGCACATCTGCGTGCATGCGATTGGGGACGTCGGCGATATGGGCTACGCTCAGTACTCTGTGATGATCTCTTTTTTTTAGATAACAATCCTGTGTTGGATTAAAATAACCAAATTTTTATACTGAAAAATTAATAAATCAATTAATTTTTAAATTACCTTTTGTTTCATTTGTTCACCTTGCAACTAGTTTATTAATTTGTCTCGTGTGTACGTATCCAGTTCCCAGTTGCAAGTGCACCTACATGTACATGTACATGTACATGATGTACATGTAGGTGGGAAAACAAAATTAGAGGCATACATTTGCATCCTCATTACAGGATCGTTTGCATTATCCCAAAAGTAACCTACCGAATTATTATCAAAAAGCTTACTTGGATTAATAGATCATACAGGTTCTAAACGCCCCGTGTAAGGCCAAAAAAATAAAAGTCTCCGGTTTCTGGTATGCGCGCGCGTCGCCGTAGCCATGCGCGTCGGCAAAATGAAAAAAAAAAATTTTCAATAAAAGATGATGTCTAAAAACCGCCAAACTCACTGGTTTGACTGGAATCCTGCTGCTGCACAATTTTAACGTGTTTTTAGATGGGGTTATGATCGAGAATAAGCTTTATGTGGCCTCTCTGGACTCCCATATATTTGCACTAAGTTTAGTCGGGCACCATTTGCAGTCATCAGCCGACATTTGAAGAAAAAAAAAGGTAAAAAAAAAAGAAGCCGCGTCACCGCACCACTTTTTGGGCAAGCTCCATACCAGAAACCGGAGACTTTTTGTTTTTGGCCTAATTATTCCATCTGGCTTGCTGTCATTCAGAAGAAGAACAAAAATGTGAATGATTTCCTAATGATCATTCAATGGACTGATTTTCAGAATAAATAGTGCAAAATAATAGACAAAATCGTGTTTCAAGATCAAAAGGTTGCACATGGTTTTTCATTTCTTGAAAAGTGTAACATCCACTGAGCTGAAACTTCCACATGCTTTGAGCATTCTTCTTTGGATTTTGAGTGGTGCTATTTACTGGAAACGAACACTGGTACATTATGTAAAATGCATGAAAAGCAAACGATCCTATAATTTGTACTGTACATGTACAATGTAATGCACGTGGGACATGTTGAAGGTTCTGTAGCGGATTCACTCAGTAAGTGACTGGGGATTATGGAATTACTTGTAGGGCGAGCATTAAGGAGAGAGAAACTCAAGAACCTGAAAACATGACGGCGTAAATGTCAGGGCTTTTTACAGTCTTTACCCCCAGAGATGCTTGATGCATACATGTACGTACCGGTACATTAAGCTTGAGCTTGTAGGATACAAATATCATGACCGTTCAATTGCAAAAACAGTTGTGGAGTATTCTCTTGAATAAAGGGACATTTACCAGTTCACAAGTATTTCTTTTACCTTTAACTACTGTACAATACAAAATGTACATGTATTTGTTTATGACATGTCTGCAATGCTGTTTACACTATAGTCTGTAGTTGAGTGATATCTGCCACTTTTCAAATGATACCTAGTCAATCTTCATACATGTATGGTTAGGGCGCCCATGTGGAGTTTATTGTTGAATAATGTTTTTGGGTGAGCCAAAAAAAAAACCAAAACGGATTAATTCATGCGCTTTACAACATGTAAGAATTACACGTTATAAATGGAGCCTTTATAAAGCGCTTTTAACAAAGATCAAAGCGCTGTACAAAACTACAAAACTACAAATCAAAAGGCAAAAACATAAACAAAACAAAAAACTTAACCCTTACCCTACTAGACCCTCCTACGCATGCCAATATGTGCCTCAAGAAAATCTCCTATGTTTTTTGCATGGCCCTCCAATATCTGCCATGTCATTTCAAGGGTAACTGGACAGGCACTCCAATACATGCCACAGAGAACAATGAGAGTCCTCTGATAACAAAGTGAGTGCCCCCAGCTGGTCAGTATCAGGCACCCTCCAGGGCCTCCAACTCCTGCCAATTGGAGCCTTCACTGCTACATCAAAGTATCCTCCAATAAACTGCAGCTGGAGGGCATTGGCATAACCAACTGACATGCAGTAAACTACCCTCAGAGAGTAAGGGTTAATTTAAGAATAACTCAAGGGAACCAGGGGATAATGAGAGGTAAAGATGAAGGTGAATTGATTAAAGAAACAAATGTGTTTTGAGCGATTTCTGGAAGGTGATGATTGACGATGCAAGTCGGATGTGTTGAGGGATCTTGTTCCAACTCCCTGGGGCCAGCAATCGAGAAAGCTTTGTCACCTGTGGTTTTAATGTTAATAGGAACATGTAATCAGGAAGTGTCTGTTGAAGACCTAAGCCCTGCCCTTCCTGATTGATACAAAGAGAGTAAATCGGTCAGGTACATGTAGGAAGGAGCCAGACAGTGTTGTGTTTTGTAAACGTATAGAATTAATTTGAAAAAAGTAAAAGTTACATGTGCATAAAAAGTTAATTTGTGCATGTGCATAATAAGTTACATGTGTATTATAAAAAGTTAATTTGAAAAAGTAAAAGTTACATGTGCATTGCATGTGCTGTACAGTATAATTAGCATATTTGTAAATTACATGTACATGTATGTACATTGTACATGTACATGTACATATGTACATGTATGTTGTCTCTTCAAAGTTATAGGCCTACATGTATGTTCATGTACATGTATCGTCCCTGTGTTACATGTACAGTGTAATTAATACCAATGTACCGGTACACTTTCCCCTTCACAAACAACAAACAAACAATACATACATTGTACACACATGAATCAGTGTACATTTGTACAGGTCTCTGTATACCGTAAAATATTATGCATATACTATACCAGTATAATATGTCAAATTTATATTCTACAGGTCCACTCTCCCATCAGTTTATGTTTTATGAGACAGTCAAAACAAAAAAGATACCAACCTGCACATGTAGCCTACAGAGTTTGACTTTGAATTATGAAATGTAAACAAATAGGATATGAGTGACAGGACTTGAAACTACATGTTACACACGTGTCAATGTCCAGAGCATGTTGACTCTACACTGAAGAGTTCTGGCTAATATAATAAGCATTTATATAGTATTTTATTATGTGGGTCATGCAAAATATGTTACCGGTTAATCACTTGTTGAAGGTACATGTGCTTGTAAATTAAAGAAATGAATGCAATTAGATAGTGTGTGAACAGAAAAGTCCCCCCCCCCCAAAAAAAATAATAATAATAATAAATAAATAATAAATAAATAAATAAATAAATACAATTTTAAAAATTAAAAAAGAAATAAAATCAAAAAAATTAAAAAATTAAAAATTTCTTTTAAAAAAACGAATATTGAAACATTGTGCGTGTTAAAATGGTAAGAAAAATAATCAAATTGTTCAGTCATTTATCAAAACATGGAATCTATTAATTGTTATTTTATTTTGTTTTGTGTAATTTGCAGGAGGACATGGGGCTCACTGGCAACAAAGCTGACCCCTTGCGGGCGCGTGACATGACTACCAAGAGAGAGATGGTGCTTCAGTACATGAAACGCTCGGGCTCTTCAGCGGTGAGGATATTTATGACGAGAAAAAAGAGAAGGAAAATCCATACTACATTTGTGGAACATCTGTAGTTTTCATTTTTGCCTTCAAAGATCAGGGAAAAATCTTGGAGAACCAAAACCATTCTCCCCCTCTCATCTGCATGCTGAACCCTGGTAGCAAAGTAAGATGCAACTTTTGTTCTTGAAGTTTTTCTAGATCTAAATTGGCCAAGATCTAGATTGGCCAAGGTGTTCGACAATATCGTCTGATGATCAATGGTCGGCCGCTAATGTAAGTAGCCGCGCGCTATATGCTCTCACACGTACTGTGCGAAGCCCGAACAGCGACCTCACGCGGTTAGGCTACAATACGCAAATCGGTCAATGTTGGTCGAACGCCTTAGAACAACCGTGCACCGTGGCTTATGTTTTTTTCTATATTTCGTTGCTGGATGCGAATAAAGATGAGATTTTCCTTCATTGCTTGGCCATGGAGACTCACATTTTCCATGGATATTAAGAGAGCTGGATAATGTGGTTAAATTCTCCAACAAGTCGGCATACCAAATATAACGCGATATAAATCCAGCAACAAAATAAAGAATATTGCCTGAAAAACAGTGCGACCATTGTTACAAGGCGTTCGACCAGCACCAACTGTTTGCATATTGTAGCCTACCCAAGTGAGGTCGCTGTTTACGCTTTGTACAGCTGTTTATGCTAGCGGTCGACCATCAATCATCAGACACTGTTGTCTATCGCCTTGACCAAGGCTACGTGACTCCTTGACAGATGTGGGGAAAATTTGTTGAAATCCACCATAAAGCCCGTAACCAGTTTGCGCCGGGATTATTTTGGCAAGAACGGATCGAGGTGCAGGATTACTTTTCACTCGACCTCATGCCAGGCTGGTTTAAGCCATCACCCTCGCGCTAGCACACTAGTATTTCCGGCCTCGCTCGCTCTGCGAACGGGTCGCTTACAGATATTTCCGGCCTCGCTCCCTGCGTGTTTATCCGTCATCCGTTCCAAATACCGCAAAACCTTTGGAGGTACACACGGTCATCCGGTGCGAACCGGTTGATACAGTGTGACAATGAAAAGGTTTTTCTTAACATTGACACTGACCCGTCCAAAAGAGAAAGACAACACCGCTGATCAAGCTTTATAGGAAAAATAAGCTGAGTACCAGTTACAATATGTACATGTAAATTTGACCATGGCTGGTAAAAAGTGTTCGCTGCTGCATAGATTCTTTGCAAAAATTTTCCATCGATATGCTAAAGTTCAAGGAGAGAATGAGCCACACTTGTGGAATAGGATGTGTACAAATGCTTGAGAAACAGGATATCCAGACTAATGGATGTAATGAGACTACAATGTATGCATTAGACTTTGGTGAATAAACTGTCAAGAGCTGCCTCAAACGTTAGCATCCCCCATTCAGTTTCCCCTTGAGTTCCGGTTTCTGATCTGGAGTAGACACATGTACCCACCGTCCACGAAATCATGTTGTTTAACATGTTTAACGTCCACGCCGACAGTCTGTTCAGGGAAAAGGAAGTTAAGTGTTTGATCAGTTTCTTCCTGGATGTTGAAACAATGAGAAATGTCGCAATGTGCTAACGGTTGGTGTCAAGGTTGTGGGGAATTTTTTGGGGGAAAAGAAACAAATTGGTGTTGATAGATCGCAGTTGCAGAAGAACAATTAAATGTAAGCAGATGAATTCGTTTACACCACTTTTGCCTCTCGAAATCAACTCTGCACACATTTTGTCAAAACTTACATGTACACTGTACAGCATTTGCTAAAAGCTTCAGGGTTGTAACAGTAGGCTTTCAATGCAATGAGGCTTTTTCTCCTGGGAGAGTTTCCCCCCCCCCAAAACAAAAAAGGTCTGATCAAATTTCAGCCAAAGACCATTTCATTAATTTTGGGAAAGGATCTGCTTATGATAACATAAACATCCTCTCTTCCTGTTATGGCCCCCCCCCCCCCCAAAAGGCTTCGGTTTCTGGTCTGCGCGCCTGTCGCCGTAGCCATGCGCGTCGGCAAAATTATAAAAAAAAATTTCAATGTAAGATGATGTCTCAAAACCGCCAAACTCACTGGTTTGACTGGAATCTTGCTGCTGCACAATTTTAACGTGTTTTTAGATGAGGTTACGTTTGAGAATAAGCTTTATGTGGCCTCTCTCGGCTTCCATACATTTTGCACTAAATTTAGTCAGGCACAATTTGCAGTCATCAGCCGACACTTGAACAAAAAAATTAATAAAATAAAAACAAAAAAACGCGTCGCCGCACCACTTTTGGGGCAAGCTCCATACCAGAAACCGAAGACTTTTTGGGGGGGCCTATAGGAACCTCAGCACCGTAACATGTACATTGCGTGTGCACATATAAATTTATACAGTGCATAAAGACAAACCTTTGAGGGGGGGGGGGGCCCATCTCGGGGTTGGAAAAAAGAAATGTACACACATGTACAGACAGAAACTGCATATGTAAAATATTTTTTATTTGTATAATACTGCCCTCAACTGGCAATGCGCAGACATTAAAAAAATGAGGTTAGTTGGGGGTCCACTTTTGAGAAATGAAATTAATACAGTAACTGCACTCAGCATATGTAGTATACCGCCCTCTATTGGCAGTGCGCAGAAACAATTCAAATTTTTTTTTTCCTCTCCCCCCCCCCCTTCCTTTCCCTTTAGGGTAGAAAAACAGTGCAGAAACCAGGCGACTACATCTTGGAGTTGAAGCACTGCGGTCCGGGGGACTCAGAGCGTCTCCTGTCCACCCTGGGCTCCCTGAAGGTGTCGCTGGGCAGCAACACCATCAGTTGGGTCCAGCAGTTTGGGGAGGCCGGCCTGACAGAAATACTGAAGATCATTAATGATTTTACCAATAGGTGGGTGACCCAAACTTTAGTTAAAATTCTGTATGATTGGAAAAGATGTGTGTGGCTTGAGCAGGTGGAATTAGGCACAAAAACTATTAGGATAAAATGGACTGGCATGTTCGGGTGTCATGTTGAAAGTGTCCATCACTTAAGCCCGCCGCACACGAGAGCTACGTGCTGAGCAAAAGGTCATTCGAGGTCGTTTGCTTAGCACGTAGCTCACAAAATATCCAAGCGTGCGGTAAATTTTTGCTGGTTTTTCTGCCTCGTGAAGCCATGTGGCAAATATCTATCCTGTTTTAGTATTTGTCGCGTGGTATTTATCACATATTGCTATAAATCTAGGTATACATCTAGGTTTATCTTCAAGCAAACTTGTACCCTCGATCCTGATTGGTCGATCCATGGCAACAACAGTGTGATATGATGTATGAGGCTGTATTGCAAGGTCCATATCGCACCCTGCTTATTGCGCTATTCCAAGATGCGAGCGACATTCCAGCTGCATGCGCTAAACCGCTGAAAGGTTCGTGTAAAGCGATGGTCCAACTTTACTGCGCGTCAAGTTTGCTTGAAGATAAATTCGTTATTTTGCTCGTGCTCGTGGAACACGGAAAATGTAGTGCGTCTGTGTCCCACATTCGGCCTCGTGGTATGTGGGACACAGACGCACTACATTATTACGGGATAACTAATAATATCATCAAGTACGGTGTTCCATATGTGCCATTGATGTCGCATTTTTGGGCGTCACATTCTTATGCTCTGGCTGGGATAATTTTGATAGAATTCATGCCAGACTTTCATGCAAGACGGCCAGAGCTTATTGTGCACTCGCACACAAGTTTGTAAATAGCAGTTACTTTGTGGCCATGGCTGTTTGAGGCTGCGGCTTTCATATTTGCTATTGGCACTGTACAGTGAGAAGCCATAGCCCTACACAACATTACCATTGCTGACAAATTCTTAATTTTGTAACTTTCCTTCGATTCAGGGAGGACCAAAGGAGTGTGGACGTCAGGCACGAGTGCATCAAGTGCCTCAAGGCCTTCATGAACAACAAGTACGGCATCCAGATGATGTTCAACAAAGAGGGCGCTCTGAGCACCGTGGCGGGGACGCTGGACCCCCGGCACGAGCAGATCATGGTGGATACGGTCCGGCTGCTGGCGGCCGTGTGCTTGTACCCTGGAGGGTAAGGCTATGTTTTAATAGACCAGGGCCCAATTTCATGTCTCTGCTAACCACAGAATTCCGCGCTTACGAACACCATTTTGTTCTAAACGCGCTAGCAGCAAAATTCTGTGCTAACCCTGTAAGCACAGAATCCTTGGTTATGGGATGTAAACATGCGCAGAAGCCAATCTTCCTTGCTAACGCGTGAAATACGCTTACCGTAAGCACGGAATTTTCTGTTACAGTAAACGTGGATTTTTCACTTACTGTAAGCAGAGGCAAGAAATTGGGTCATGGGCTTTATGGATTAGTCTATTACTTGGCTACGGCTTGCGATAACACACGCGTCTATGGGAAGTGGATTAAGCCACATCCATAGGCACATCCATGTATTATTGCTAGCCATAGCCACATAATTGGACATGGCTAAGGTTTCACCAGTTCGCGCCGGAGGCCGTGATAACAGGCACTGACTGTTTTTGTACCCTGGTCCGGCTGACGAGTAAAGGTGTCAAGATAGCCTCGACTCACCTCCGGGTGACGTCTAAACACGCTGATCCCTCGTGCCTTTTGTACACACTCACCATGCTCACAAAAGTCTGTGTTGTCTGTGGAGACGGACCGTGTGCTGACCGTGCACAGCCTATTGTTGTACAATTTAAGCTCCATTGCACACCCCGGAGTATTGAAACATATGAGGTTTCGGCAAGAAATATCATACAAATACTGTTGAAATGACTCTTGCGAATCAGTATTTGTGGCGTTTGGCTGTATATCAGAAGTTGGCTGGGAAATTTTGCCTTTAGAAAATTTTCGTAATTTTCGGCAAAATAAACACGGCGTGAAGTGGTTAATCAAAAAAGCCACGAGTTGAGAATTTTAAGAGGTGGTTCTTTTCTGTGTTTCCAAGTTTTTGTGAGAAGGTTTTGTACCAGGAATCAAATAACTTTTAAGGCAATATTAACTGACCAAGTGCTTCAAATGCATAAGAAAATTAAGATTTTGACGTACCGCTTGGTACAGGTATTTAAAGTTTGTGTTTTCATCCCGAAAAATAGATTCCATTTCTGAATTGCTTTTTTTCTAGCACTACAAAAGTTATTCACTTTTGAATGAGACATCGACCTAAAAAATCGGCCTGTGTTTAGTCATTGAATTATCACTTTACAAATTTGAATTATTGGCTGCCAGACAATAATTCATTCTCGCAGTTTAGGCTGGTTCCCGCCCCTACGATCAGTATCGATAGTGTACGGACCAGGAGTTAGTCTGCTCGCAAAGCTGATCTGTTAGTGCCTAAAAAAATACCCCTTTTTTATGGGGTTGCAGACTTAAAACAAGAATGACTAAAAAAAGGTTCTTTGGTTGGAATAAAACATACAAATTGAAAATTTATGTGTAGAAAAAAAATGATAATGGTCGAAGAGAACAGGGAATGCAACTTTAAGAACTGTACTCTTTTTCCAAAAGGACTTGGACTTGAGCTGAAAATGACAAAAATTGCCAGGTTAACAGTTAATTAGTGATGAAAATTAGTATGTTTTTCAAGCAGTGTTTTGGTGGAGTCTATCACAAGTCCTTACAATTCGATCACAAATCCTCTTGTCTCAAGTCCAGTCACAAGCTTTACAAATGAACTCAGGGAAAGGCATTCCTTTGTTATCGTTCTTCCCCTGTTACTAGTGACAGGACTTATGAAAGGTCTTGTGATTTACTTTTGACCAAACTTGTGATTTTGTACTTGTGATGGACTCGACTACAATGCTGTCATTTTGGCAAGTCTACAGAATTCCCCTCTTAATACTGGGATTTCCTTCGTCTCCTTGTTTTTCATCGTCCAGGAAGAAATCGATAACATTTCATTTCCTTCCCTAATAACCTATTGTGGCTTGGGCGTTGACGGTCTGCTCACTGACTTTGCCCGACCCCTCGAACCGAAAATGGTACTGTCTGTGCCCACAGGAGGTACACAGACTTCAGTCTGTTCCATTGACAATTCAAGGGAGGTTCAGTTGTCGAAAAGTTGACAGTCTGAGGGGCAGTGAAAAAACAACCGTACACCAACACCATCTGTGCACCACCCACGGGGAACCAACCGAGTAGATTCAATTTACCCCTTCCTCTAAGCGCTCTGCCCACCTTGCTAGATGTCTCGCACACACTGTTTAAACGTTTACTTCGAGGCAATCCCTTGTAATTGTAACTTCTTCAGACTTAGTTTGGTAACTTATTTCATTGAATGGCAAACTCTGCTCAGGACGCTTACAATGGTGTGTAAGGAGTATCTGTACGAGTTCAGGTACCAGATCAGGTAATATTTTTTTTGGAGCCCTTAGGTTTGGTGAGTGCGCTTGGGTTTTCAGTGTCCGTTCACTTGCAGCCGCGACAGAACTCATTTCATGAGCTTTGCTAGTTTACTTTGAGGTACTTCATAAGTAGAGAACAACTTCAATTCCAATGCCTTCCGGTAATGACATCAAGGACCAGGTGCTCTAGCTCGGTTTGAAAAACCTGAAAGGGAAAGTTGATGTAGCAATTGTTCAGGTTTAGACGTGGAAGGAAAACCATAATAGACATTGGAGAGTAGAAGTTACCCATGATGTCAGGCTCAGACTGAAAACCCAATCCATTTGACAACCTGGAAGGGATTCGAACCCAGGCCAAAGAGGCGGAAGGAGACCACCGTGCCAGCCTTACTTCCAAAAACTTCTTTTGTAATGGAACATGACCTGAGGTTTCTCACTGTTCTTCATGAGCTCTCTTTGATTTTGTTTTTGTTTCTGCAGGCATGAGAAAGTGTTGGCAGCCCTGACAGACGTGGCCGAGTTCAGAAGTCGGCCGAGATTCGCGCCCATCATCGAGGCCCTGAAACAGGAAGAGAATCCTACACTGCAGGTAGGGAGCCTCATGTTTGTTATTATCTGTCTTAGATGAGGAAAAATTAAGCCCAATCTTCCAAGATCCTTCAGAATCCATCAGGCGTCTTTTTGCAGGATTTTGCAGGATTGAGCAAGGTAGATTTAACCGTTAATTGCCTTACAGAAAACTTGATACCCCTTGAAAATTGAAGTACATGTACAAAGAATGTGCAACTGGTGTAATACACAGTGGAGGGTTTTTGAAGGATTCAGGAAAGGTTCCTAGCAAACGTGCGTAGGGATTATTTCTGGGGGTTTTTAGGGGCTTTTGTCATGATTTTTAAAAAGCTGTTTTTTGTTTTGTTTTAAGTTTTTTGGGTGTAGTTTTCCAGTTTTTTGGAAAATTCTTAGATAGCCCTGAAAGGTGAAAAAAAACGCAAAAAACTTGTCGGGGGAAAAACGGAACTGGCACAATGACTTTGGAGCTATTGTATGCATTGTCAAATTCTTGCAATAAATTATAGGGTGGCATGGGTGGCTAGTGCGTAAAGCGCTTGCCTCTCACCACTGTTTGTTCCCAGCTAGGACCATATGTGAGTAGAGTTGTGCATTGGTTCTCTCCTGTGCCATTAGGGTTTTTCTCCGAGCCCTCTGGTTTTCCTCCTGAAGAAAAAATCAAACACTTTCAGTCTCTGACTGTGCTCTGTGGTCAGACATAGGTTATATGGCTGGCTGCCTAAGGCGCCTTTATGTGCCTGCGGCTCGACTGCGTTGTAGCCACATCCTTCACATTTCGTCTTCTCAGCTTCGAGCAAGGATGATAAGCCTCCCAACTTATTTTTAATATTATTAAAACGAATTTATTATTGTGTAAAATTTTACTTAGCACATATTTTTTTGTACCATCAGATATGATAAGATGTAATTTTGAACAACAATCCAAGTTGGAATAACAAACATGTGCCAATGAAAAAGTGGCCTTATCTATTATGCAAATATGCATCATGCCAGTAATATTTAATACATGTACAACAGCCTCAGTTGAATTCGCATGATAATTAATTGAGTCGATTCAATGTAAACATCCGCTTATCTTTGGTCAGGATCTTTGGTTTCCGCCCACATTTGTACAAATTACAGTTGACACCTTTAACTCCTTCGCCCCATGTGACTCACACTTACCAATCAGATTTAGTCATCTGCAGCTGTCCGGTCACAAAAGAAACGGTGACACCAACATGACAAATGGATCGGGGCACCTGATTGGTCGATTGCAGCTGGCCAATTAACCTGTTTGAGGTCTGGCACCAATGGATGATGGGACTGACTTCAAGAAAGTAAAAAGTGCATCTTGGCATCTGTCAAGGCTGATTTGTGTCTTACACGTACCCAGGTTTTTGTCTTTTGTTGTGTCATGGTTTAACTGATATCCTGGGTAAAAGACTCGGGTATGATTATGAGGTCTCTTGTCAAAGTCTGTCAAGAAACGCCTGACATGCCTGATGCCGATGATATTTTTTTGCACATGGTGCATTTTCTCAAGCTTGCTCTGACAATCAAGAGTACATTTGAACCTGCCTGATTTGTGGTCATTGTACGTGTTTGACAACGGTCTAAACTGGAGATGTTTGTCATGTACATACAGACAGTCGTGTTTTACTATACTCTCGAGGACAATGCTTTGTGTTTCTCTTTATCCCTGTAATATACATGTAACACTCTCCCATAGACTAAGCACATAAACGTACGATAGCAGACCGTTTTCAACAAAGGACCCAACTCCCGAGGACTGAAAGGATCTGTTGTTCTCCCTTTGTGTGTCGGTCCTTGGTGGTTATGAAGAACACCTACAAACTATCTTGTGAAACCTCGGCGAAAATGGCCACACACCGCACTGCCTTCAGACTGTTTGCAAAGCAAAATTGAATACGTGCAAAACATTTATGGTGACATTTTGTGTGGGTTAACGAGAGTTTAACTTGTGCAAGATGTGCAGCACGATTATTTCTTGTTTTGTCAAAACTTTTGCACGTGAGTGAGTCTATAAATTTGGGGTCCACTCTTTTCCTGTCCTTGTCACATCTGACATGTATGATTTTGTAATTCTGTATCCACTCCTTAACCCTGACCTCCCCCAACCAATCAAACCCAACGGCATGTCTTATTGGAATCTGTCACGATGGGTACAGTACCCCTAAACTGACAGTCTTTAACATTGGGTTGGCACAGCTCCAGAATCAAAGTCAGAAATATGTGTGTGTAGTTTCCCATATAATGTTGGAATTTGCCAGGATGGGTATGGTTCCTAGTTAATCGTGCTAGGGAGTTAGGGTTCATGTATTCTTCCTCCAAGATTGATTTTGTGAAACAAGCAACCTCCACAACAAATAAGAATTAGGTTGAAGTCATGTTTAACCACACAGGAATGGCAATCGACAAAGTACAGAGGTAACAGGGACAGGAAAAATGTCATTATTTGGATCCTTGTTTTATAGACTGGCCCATTTGCGTTTGCCCTCATGTCCTAAAACTGGACCAAGTGAAACCAAAAAGTCACGTCTACATTTGTCGCTACAGTACCCTCCTGTTGTACAATTACATGCATGCCTACTTAAGTATGGGATTTTTGATTGGAAACCAGCCAAGTTGCACAGTCCTCCACACTCCCCCCCCCCCCCCAAAAAAAAGTGGACCCATCAGGACCCATCACTTGTCAATTTCGAAAGCAAACACTAAGGAATACCCTGTCTTCATCCGTCGGAGCCCAAGAGACTTTTCAGCGTAGTACTGCATTGTAAAAGCTGACCTGAAACGAACGCGAACAGTTGCCCAGACTGAAGACAAGACAAAAATGCTGACGAGTCATCAGTCATGTGTCGCATCACAAGGAGTAAGTTTAGGACGGACAAGCGCGACAGACAGAAACCTCTCGCTCAGTTGCCAGATAGTGGGTGCTTCATGATAGCTCGTTGGCAAACGTGGATCTGAAGCAATGGAGATGGATATCTCGGAGGGGGATCTCTCGTATCTGCAGGTGTTGCAGGTTGATTGCGTCCAGGTTTTTCTGGCTACATGTCATTGGGGTGACGACCGTACTCCCATAAACTTAGTGAGTTTGGAGTTTAAGAGTTGGAGAGCCACTACATTTTCTGCACATGTACATTTTCTTGCCGTTTATTTTAGGAGGATACTTTTGAAGTACATGTACATGCAGCAACTCTTGTGTGTGTTTGTGTACATGAACATGTACTGTTCGCATGTGGTTGTCCATCACATACATATTTGATCAAAGCGTCAGGACAACTGACTCTGTATTTTTCAGCTCAGTCTAGACATTAAACAGGTTACAAGTAGATGTTCATTTGGGATTTATTTACCTAGTACTTATTATTAATGTCTCGTTTGGTCGCGATACCCGCTGTAACATTAGACTCAACCGGCCAGCCAACCCTGGCAAACTCGGTGGTCGATCGGAGTCACGTCTGCGTTATCAACCAGGAGGTTGTGGGTTCAAGTCCCACCCGAGTAAGCTTGGGAATATTTTTCTCGCAAGCCCTTTGACAACACTGAGTATACAGAGTTAATAAATACGTAAGCGAAGGGCAACACCGAATAAAAATAAAACAAATTTTAAAATGTCTGTATTTATTCTGCTCATTCTGCAGACGGTCTGCATGCAGTTAGTGAACGCAGTCATCATCACACCACGTGAACCCGAGGAGCTAGACTTCAGGTTACATCTACGCAATGAGTTTCTCCGGACAGGAATGCTGGATCTCTTACCTGTAAGTCAGTTCTGTTTCAGGACAAACATATCTCGGTTCTTCTTACCAAGAGCAGAGATTTTTTTGCAAATTGTAGCTACTACTTGGTACTTGGTTTGTGGCCCTCCAAAATATTCCATCTAGGCAATTTAAACTGGAGATAAGGTGAAAATTCTGTGGGTTAGCGTATTTCGCAGGGAAGCAAGGAGTTTTGGCAGTAAGCGAGTTCTGTATCTAAGAGAGGTCAAAGCACTCTCGGGGGGGGGGGGGGGGGGGAGGGGCTTAACCAGTTCACGTCGGATGCATGTATGCGCGCAAAGTTTTTGCGGTATTCAGAACAGATGATAAACACAAACGAGCGAGGCCGGAAATATCTGTCTGTGACCAGCTTGCAGCGAGCGAGGCCGGAAATATCAGGGTGTGCTACCCGCAGATGACGGCCAGAACCCGTCTGGCATCGAGGTTCGTGAAAACGATCCCGCGCCTGGGTCCAGTCACGTCAAAATAATCCCGACGCGAACTGGTTAAAAGTAGCAAAGTAACAAACTAGGGGAGGGGTTGATGCTGAGGCATTTTTTAAATGAAAACTGACAGTTGTCTTCCCGTTTCCCCTGTTTTCTTGTTCTTCTCCCTTTTTGTTGTTCTCGCCCTATTTCCGGGGAGGGGCAAAAGCTCCTTGCTCCCTCTTGCAACACCCACGCTTTTGATCGACTGGTTTTGACTTTGGGATGATATGGACAGATAGTCCACTGTAGCTATATTTAGTTCTTTTTTTATTTAGGAGGGTGGGTTGGTGTTTTGTCAGTTGTGATCATTTGGCACACCCGTTGCCAGCTGCTGCATGCTAAATTTACACGTGCTGCGTGACAGGACTTCCGCTGTGCACAGTCAAACCTGTCATATTCCTGTCAGAAACACTTGTGTCGTGGATGTCTTGTGCACCTCACAGAAGTACACTTATTGAAATTGACTGATCAATTATACCTCGCCCACATCTTCAGCCGCCCTCATGGGCATGTTGGACGTTGGTGCAAGCACGTCGGACATTAAATCACCGCTGTGATTGGCCAGGACATCGTGGGGCAGGGCTTAGTGAGCTATTGATCGAATGACAGAAATAAAAAACTTTGTCCCTCTGTTCGAGCTTATATACTGTCACTGCATCTGGAGTTTTTGACAAATTCTCTAGTACCGTAGTGTGACAGTTGTTGGGGATGCATCATTGGTGTGTCATTCATACTTTTTTTTTAACAGAGAGTAGATCATTTGCAGCTATCCAAAAAGTAACTGACCAAATTTTACTTGTAACTGAAAAGCTTACTTGGTTTAAAGATGGGGATGGCAATAGACTCCCGGTGAAGTTTTTTATTTCTGGCATGCAGTCATGTTGAAGAAAACAATACAAGAAGGCCATTTCCAAAGATGCGTCAATTGACGCATTTTTGGAAATTTCCATTAGTACATGTAGTTGGTTTGTAATTCAGCGAATTTGTGAATAGATGTACTCAAGCGTCGGCGCGACGCACACGCGCATGCAGTTGCTACTATTTGTCGATTCAGGGCATGACATCGCGTAGCTGCAATCAGCAGAATGAGAACGTGTCCCGGACGCTGATTTCAGGCGCAATTCAAAACATGACTCAGCAACTTTTCAATTGAAATCGAGATTCTAGAATATTGTTTTCTCAGAAATTCACTGAGCTCTTCATCAGGTCAGGTTGTTAACCCCTTAAGCACGGGTTATAATGGGGACATTCCTCCACACATAGAGCAAGTGGCCCGCATGACTGCACAGCCTTTGTGTGGTAGCGGGACTGCACAAAAGCAGCAGCTGTGGAACTACCCACTAGCCGTGTGCCACGGCATACCACAGCTGGCAACTGCATTCCAATGAGGATTAGCAGCCCCGGCCATGACCGCTTCCCGGGCCCATGGGGTTAAGCACCCGTCTTTAGATTTTGAGCACTTTTATCGCTTCAAAAAAAAAAAAAAATGACACAAGTGACAAATGATCTAATCTATACCTTTAAATGGAATCCAAGTAACTGTTCACTAACTTCACAATTGGCTGGAAATGTTGACATGGCTGAGATGTTAATCCTTAGGCCTGTTCATCCTTGGCACAAACTTGAACCCGAATGCAACTTTGCAATGTCATGACAAGTCAACACATTGGGGCGAATGCTACAGTGAGTGGCTCTGTCTTCAAAATCACTTTGAATTCTAAAGCGTTACATACCGATCAGCTGTTTGGGTGATTCACTACCAGACATATAAGATTATTTGCATTTATCCCAAAAGAAATCTACCAAATTATCATCAAAATTAGGGTAGGGGCCGTCAGAATAGGGTAGGTAGGGAAACCGGAAGCCTTAGTACTAGTACAGTCAGATACTAATTTGCGTCGTCACTTTTCTTGGAACAAATCTTTTCCCTTCATTTACATCGAATAGGAACTGAGAGACAACAAGAGCTCCGAGCTGGAAACTCAGGTCACCGTCTTTGACGACCACAAAGAAGACGACTACGATGAGTTCTGCCATCGCTTCGAAGGCCTCAAAGTAGAGATAGAATATCCTTTGAAGTGTATGTTACATGTACATTCAACAGTCTGCGTCCTTCAATGAATTGCCGAGAAGTGTACAAAGCACTGGAAGTTCTTGCTTACCCCCCAAAAAAGTTTCTAGCCCCTCCCCCCCCCCCACCCCACCAAAGTTGATGTTTGTTTCTTGTGACCGGTTTGTGCGAAAAGTAACTAAGCATTGTCCACACGTTAGATTCACCAAGCAGTGGAATTCCAAGAAAGCTTTGGTCTGTTTTGAGATTAGTTAATGCTGCGTTGAAAACCTGGTTTACTACAAAGTTAAACTATTAAAAAAAAAATTTGACAGCAAATGAGAAACGGTTCCCCTACCTATTTTATAGCGATATGGTCCAGTGGTTACGGTGTTCGACCCATGTGCCATGGTACATGGGTTCAAATCCCGACGGGGAGCATGTTGCTTGTGTCCTTGGGCAAGACACTTTACTACAATTGGCTCTCTCCATCAAGGAGTATAAATGCGTACCTGTGAGGGTACAACACCAGATTACACTGATCTTGGCTGCAAAAAAATGGTCATGGCCTGTTGAACAGGGATAATAATTGTAATTAGCTTGAAGACCTAAGGTACCCTTGGTGGAAAGTGCTATGCATTGTTATGCATTATTTAATTCTAAGATGAGTGTTCATTTTAATACTTTTGCCGATAGCTGTAAACAAAAATCTCAGCCTGCATCGAAAGTTGTAATCCTTCTCTTAAGCACGATCATTGTGTGCTTTAAATTTCTTTTGAAGTGTCTGAAATGGATTCTCGGGCAGGAGTTTATTCTTAAAAAGAAAAGGTGGATCACAATTTGTTTGTACTTCAAGGTCAGGTTCAATTCTGTTCTGCTCCAGAGTCGCCCAAGGTAAAACAAAAAATTACAAAAGGATTGTAGCCAAAGCCCAATAGAACACAGAAAATGATACATCAGTTGATTCTTTAACTGCGGATTACCGATGAGGAGTCAGCGTACCAGCTGCTTCACCAGCTCGTCGGCGATACTCCAGCTGAGCCGTTCTTCCTGTCCATCCTGCAGCATCTGCTCATGATCAGGGAAGATGGTGTGATAAGGTACTAGAACTATGTCTCCATTAGCTGTTGGGAAGAAGTAGGATTCACTCGTTTGTTACAATTCTGACTGTTGTATCTGTAAGTGGAATGCATAAAGAAAACATGTACAAAACCTTTAAAAAAAGGTGGAAAAAGGAAAAATCAACAAAACAAAAATCTTGACGAAAACAAAAGCTGTTCCCATTGAAATTGAGAACAGCTAAAATGGAAGAAACATGCAACTGAGGAGAGAAACATAATCTTTTGATGTTACCGTGGCAGTTTGGAATGTAATGGAAGAAACATGCAATCGAGGAGAAAAACATTATCGTTTGATGTTGGGCATGGCAGCGCGGAATGTGACAAATGATAAGGAATTATGCAGAATTCAATTTTATGGCCCCGCCTTTCTAAATTAAAAAATATCATGCTAACTTTGGCAGAAAATACTGAATATTAACTGAAGAACAATACCAACTTTCATAGCTCATATTTCCACAAATGAAGAATGCTATAGTTTAAAGCTCTACATGTGTGGTAAGGGTATTTCATGGATTAGTAAGGAATGTGAGTTTGTGCATAATAATAAATTAGATATATCTTTCAGTGAGAATGCTTTACCACTTTCTTCAAACGACTTACAAGAGTTTTCTTTTCTTGTTGTGTCCAGACCACAGTACTATAAATTAATAGAGGAATGCATCTCCCAGATTGTGCTGCACAGAGGAGGCTGCGATCCGGACTTCAGACACACGTGCAAATTTGAAGTTGACGTGGAACCCCTCATAGGTGAGCATATACGTGTGAATAGGAAGCTAGAGCTGGTTTTGTTTGGTTAAGAACCCCTGCCCATGTTGATGTGAATTAACCATAGAACTATATTAAATTACTTCAGCGCCAACTCCTTGTTCCTCCGCAGAGATACTTTTGAAGCCATCCTGATCGTAGGCATTTTTTGAATTCATGTGCATGTTTGTAGCACATAATGAAATTAGAAGGAATGAATTCCGAATAATGTACTCTATTGAATGCAACACCCAACTAAGCGCGTTTTCTATGAGTATGACTCACACAGGTTTGCATTTTCCATTTACAACTTCCCACACATTGTCTCTGTATTATAGTCCCGTTTATGTAATTTTTATGGCATAAAACTGGCTTTAAAAAAAGGGCGCTTCTTATTTTGCAAGTCAAGGAACTTACTCCCTGAGTTGTGACGTGTCGCAGCCCTTGAAATCAGGTGCAGGCTGCTTCTGGACAAGAGAGCTTGGGGAGTTAGAGTTAAAGCTATAGTCCATCATTTGCAGCCATCCAAAAAAGTAAATGGCGTATTATTGTTGAAAAACATACTTGGTTGAAAGATAGTAAGTGGACTAAACTCCCTGTGAAATTAATCTTTCTGGCAAGCTGTCATTTTGAAGTAATCAACGAAAGAAGGCCTTTCCAATGGTGCGTCTTAAGACGCACTGTAGGAAAATTTAAATTAGTAGTTTATTCGGCACAGCGCGCGCAAACATTGGCACGATGCACAGGCGCGCGCGGTTGCTATAATTCGTCGGATCAGTGCAAGACATCGCGTATAGCGTCAATTCAAAACAATTCCAGACATAATTCAGCAACTTTTGATTTGAAATTGAGATCCTAGAATGCTGTTTTTCTCGGAATATACAGCTGAAGCTGAGCTGAAACTTCATCAGGTTTAGTTGTTCAGTATCTTTCATGAGATTTTGAACACTTTTGTTGCTTTAAACTAACAAAATGCACAAATTACAAATGATGGACTACATCTTTAAGTAGTCAGACCTTGCAACAAAAGTGGAAAAGCTACTGACATGTTTTTTATTAGTTGTAACTAAGTAATCAGTTTAAACCTATTTCATTCACACATCTCGGACATTTTTGTTTTGTTTTCGCAGAGGGTCTCAAAGAAAAAGCATTTTACGAAACCCTGGAGACGAAGGCAACGAAGTTAGAAAAAGAGGTAAGCGCACTGAATGTTTGTGTCTGTTTTTCCTCATCATATAATAGTCTAATTTTGAGCTTGTTTGTCCTGGACGTTGCATGACTAGTCGACAACCCCCGACGAGACCACGCGAGGCGGGGTCAACTCATATTGAAACCCAGGAGACACGGCCAGAATGTTTACATCACGAAAGCAAACCAATGTCGACAGACTCAGGAAGTGCTGTCACGCCCACAAATTCAATTTTCCGCATTTCCTAAGACGACAACCAGAGAAGTCCTGAGGCGGCATTTTTGTGAATTTTTTTTTTTAAGAAACACGTGCCCATTACCTGAGGGTCTTGAGCAGAGCCTGTCCCATATTACATCACTTCCTGTGGTGAAAGATCCTCAGTAAAGCAGACAGTTTTTCAAAAGCGATGTCCAGTTTTGTACAGGCCAGTGCAGTCGGCAGGGAGTCATCAATAAGTGGACTGCCAATGCCATCTTGTTTTTTTTCCAGAGCATCCAAGTTCTCTGTCCTTTGTCTCAGATTGTTGTTGTGAGTGGTTATTCTCTTAGCAATGAGTAACTCTCTTGTGATCCAGGCAGTAATGACATTCCCAGACACAAGGATAGAGGTTTATTATGTCCAAACATGTTTTCTTGCCCGCGATGAACTCGGACGTGGGGTCAGATTTAACCAATCACTGTACCGCCCCAAACTGCCCAGCACTATATGGTTTTGTGTATTCATCAGGAATAGGTACTGTGTCATGCATGTGTTGGGGAGTGTAGCCTAGTGGTTAGGGTTCGCGACTCATGATCAGAGGGTCAGGGGTTCGAATCCAGCTGCCTGTTATATGTTGTGTCCTTGGGCAAGGCACTTCACCTCCCCTTGCCTCTCTTCACCCAGGAGTATAAATGGGTACCGGCATTAGCTGGGGAGTAACCGGCAATGGACTGGCATCCCATCCAGGGGGAATAGAGATATTCTCAGTCGTTTCATGCTACTGAAACCAGAGATAAATGCCGGCCTGATGGGCCACATTGGCTCGGGACAGACTTGACTTTACTTACTTACTATTCAATGTCGTACAGGTGCTGATGGGTTGATATTTCTGCATGCACACACAGAGGCACTTTGTTTCATTACTGGATCATTCTATACATTTGGGGTCCACTTTTTTTCCTGTCCATGTTAATCTGACCGAGGCAATCTTTAACCCTCCTACATGTATGCAAACATACATTCTGTGCCAGGCTGTCCTTGCAGTCAAAATCAATCAAGTGACTGTTTTCAACCCGTAAGAATTCCAAGCCCACATAAAGCTGGATTGACTGCCTTGGACTGATTAAGTAACTTGATACAGCTATGCTTTGACTCCAAGAGAGTGATAAGACAGCTGTGACCACAACTTGCCTGCTTTGTCTGTTGACCCAGTTTGACTAGACAAAGTGTTTGCTTGACATATGATCTGACTGCTGGTGACTAGCCTTTGTTAACAGTATAGCAGGGGAAGTGGAAGTGAATTTTGACTGTCCGTGACTGCTCGGGGGTTAATGCAGTCGTCCTCCAAGAGTGATTATGAATAGCAAACTACTCAACAAATAAAGAATTCTTTGAAGTCATTCTTTCATTCTTGAATAAAGAAATAAATTACGTGCTTGGCCGAGCCGAAAGCGAGGGTCCTTTCCCGCATCCAGGCCCCTAGCAGGTTTTAAACGTACTTGTTTAATACCGGCCAAGCACATAATTATTCCCATTCCATAAATACCTTTTTTGGTCAAAAAGTCAAAACAAGTTAAAATTTCACAAATTTCCAACAATTTTACTTCATTTTTTTTTTTTTAAACCCCTCTCGCCATGTCTGTGGTATGTGCCTCGCGCACTTTAATCAGTGGTTTAAAACCACCCACGTGACAGGCTCTCGACCAATAGGAAATGTGTAAACTGTCTTTAAGTATTTATGAATGGCAAAGAACCAAGGTAACAGGGACAGGACAAAAATGGACCCTCAATTTTATAGAATGACCTACTACAAGTACTTGAGAACTTGACCAGAAATGAGAATTGCCTGACCTCATTTCAATGAGGTCACATCTCTAGGGGCAGTGCCTTCTTGACTTCCTTTTTTTTTTTTTTTTAAAAGGATGTGTTTTTAATTAAGTGTCCAGGCCATGAGTCTTATTCATCCCAATTGAAAGCTATTAAAAGCCAATGTCATCTATTACCGCTGTTTTGTCCCATGGTGACAAACTGTCCTGCCTGGGCTGGTTGTTGTGACCGAGGAGTTTGCTTCAGTTAAAAACATGTTTGTTCAGAAGAAACAGGTTCCAGACAGACTGAGAGCCTTGAATATAGTTACAAATAAAAGTCAGGCCAACGTGATTCACTCATTATAAACCATTGGTAATTTAAAAAAAAAGAAAAAGGTCCGGGCCCATATTCTGTTAAGCAAAGACGTCTGTATTAATTAACCCTAACCTTCCGGGGTATTTTGGCTAGAAACCCGTACCAAACGCAGCAACATGCAACACTTGTCTAAGTGACAAGCCTGCCCAGTGTAGCAAGATCCAACAGGCCAAAAGTCTCGAGGCCAAACTGCCTCAGAGTCTGTGGTCCCAGAACGCAGCAGGATACAACTGTGGCATTGTTCGATGGGACTAGCTCTCATTGTCTCAGAAGCAGCCGTTGATGCACTGGTGTTGGCAGCTGAATACACCAAAGTGCAGCAGACATTTCCACCTGATGCACTCTGTTGTGTCTGGCTGGGTTGGGGTTAAAGCGTTTTATACAATGCCTGAATAAATCCCCGTCATGTGATCGGTGGGTCGTTGATCACGTGTCAGTGAATTATTTGTACCAACGCACGGCCCTAGTTCTATTCCACGGGAAATAGAGCGAGCCACCTATTTATTTATATTTTTTTCTAATTCGGTCACTTTCTTTTTGACTCACTCTGTACTGTAAGCAGAAAACCCTAGCAGCATGTACATTTGTACACCTTTGTAGAACCCAAAGATAAATCCTCAGCCCACCACTGACTGTTAATTGATTGATTAAAAAATCCCACTCGGAAATCCCCCACTTACATGTAACCCTCCAGGAAACGCTTAACATGCTAGCCGTAATGGCGCGGTTCCTGCATGGAAACAAACAACACATCCTTCAGTATTAAATTGGCTGCGTTCATCAGTCCCGACAGAGGAGGTCTAAAGAGCTTAATCCTCCTCTTCCTTGCCAGTCACCTATTTAGTTCTCCAATCCGTAAATCTTTTCCCAATTTATTTGCTCTGGTAAGCGTGGACTTCTCTTCTTTTATGTACCAGAGCCCTGTGCTTTTATGTACCATAGCCCACGTGTGGAGTGACGTGGCTTCGTGGTCTGGAGCATTGAATTTGTGGTCTGCGGGTAATTCTGCAGGTTGTGGGTTCGAGTCCAGCCTGGGGTCATGGTGCGTGTGCCCTTGGGCAAGGCACTTTGTCACTCATTGCTTCTCTCCACCCAGGAGTAAATGGGTACCTGTGAGGGCAGAGATGGTTAGTGTGGCTGATTTTAGCTGCTTTGCAGCGAAATGGCAGCATCGAGCTGTATATGTACTCCCCAGGGAGCTGAGATGGTCTTTGGAATGTTTCATTAGCCCAATGAGCAGGGTAATAATAATGTTGTGCAGTGAGCACCAATCCTGGTGGATACGTGCACTTTATAAATACACATTATCGTTATTACTTTGCTTTCAAAGCCAGCATAGAATTTCTGGGCTAACCATGTAAGCGCAGAATCCTTAGTTATTGGGTGTATTGCTGAAATACTTGGGTCCTCCTTAAAGTACAGCGTTTTCACAAATGCATTTGTTTTAACCTGTGCATGTAAAATTGCTGTTTCAGCTGGACCAAGAGTTGACGGCACGGCAGGAATCCGAGGCCAAGCTCTCCCAGGCGCACAAGAAGAATGAAGAATACGAGAAGAAAATAGCAGAGCTTGAATCACAGGTACAAACTCTTAAGGGATAGAATGAAAACCATACAATCTTACTGTAGGTGCAGTGATTTCATCCTGCAGGACAACACTGAAAACTGTAGGAGAAAACAACTTCACCTGGTTGAATAGCTTAGTAAAGATCACACAGCTGTTTGTACAATTATAAAGATGTGTGCTTAGTTGATTTGGGCCTGTTGTAACCTATGAAACTACTGTATTGTAAAAAAGCATTTTGCTAATCTGTTACTTTCAAATCTTTTTTCCTCCAGATTGCATCAGGTGTCTTTGTCCCCTCATCATCATCATCAGTACCAGCCCCACCAGGCGGCGCAATACCCCCACCCCCTCCACCCCCAGGGATGGGTGGTGGCCCACCCCCTCCCCCGCCCCCACCGGGTATAGGCGGTGGCCCACCCCCTCCCCCACCACCCCCAGGGATAGGCGGTGGACCACCCCCTCCCCCGCCACCCCCAGGGATTGGTGGTGCCCCGCCCCCTCCTCCACTCCCAGGCATGGGGGGTGGCCCACCCCCTCCCCCGCCACCTCCCGGTATGGGGGGACCTCCTGGGCCTCCCCCTCCCCCAGGCGGGGTACCCATGGTAGGGGGCAGGGGTCCCTTCACCCCTTCACCGGTGGCTGAGCTTCCCCATGGAATGCGAGCCAAGAAGAAGTACACCCTGCAGACGCCTCTGAAGAGAGCCAACTGGAATAAGGTGGGTGAGATACACACTGGTGGTGCGCAGAATTCGTGAACAGTGTGTCTGAAAACATCAAAAACGGCATTCAAGTGTCCATAATGTGTCCAATGACAAGCTCATCGTGCGCAGACATTACTCGCAGTACTTGAATTATATTTTTGGCCTGGGTTTTGGTAAGGCCCAACGTCAAAATACAAATGGTTCACCAATCATTCCTGATAGAACTTAATCCCTTTTCTTATCGTTGCCCGCTTCAACAGGAAGCGTTTCCCGACAGCAAAGGAATCATTGCCTGATAGGAGGCGTCTGTGCGGCAGGTTCATTGATCCTCTCCCTCCATTCAGAGCAGAGCGCTACGAATGCTGGGTCTTGCAGCTTATTATGAATAGCCATTGTGCGGCAGGATTGTTGCGTAAATTGGCCAGCCGTGTAGAGCACGGACGTATCCAGCATGCACAGATAATCTCTCCATTCAACAAAAGACGATCAACTCCACAGACTAATGCCCGTTTGACACCATAGGCACTACATGTACCTTATATGAGAAGTTGAAACGACTGCTCCAATTTTATGCAATTCATTTAGTATCATTTCACTAGGAACTAATTTTTCTTTTCTGGAAATCCGCATTGTTGGCCGATCAATGCTCCATTGGATTTGTCTAAGATATAGTACATGAAATTTACTCTTTAGGTTATTTCATCACGGTCCCAGCCTTGTTGATAAACAGCTGAGATGAGTCACCCAGCCGCCACAATAGAACGTAATCCTATAAACTCTCTATTGTTGAGCGAAGCGGATGAGGAGTTGAGTGCACCCAACCGCGAAGGGTTTTGGTGGCCCGTCTGTATCGTTGCACGGTTCACTCTGAAGCGTGTGGAGGGCTTATCATTTTTTTCTATTGGGAATGATTGGTGAAGCATTTTGTATTTTGACCAAGGGCCTAACCACAGAATAATTTCAAATTTTGTTTTGAAACAGTAACCAATAACTTTGGAATACCTTTTTTTACAGATCCAGCCACGAATCCTCAACAAAGACTCGTTCTGGGTCAACGTAGATGAGGAGAAAGAGGAAGATGATACCGTCCTGACCGAACTGGCAAACATCTTTGCTTCCAAACCAGGTACTGAAAAACGGCAGTCGATCTTTGGAAATTTCAAAGATTTTCTTGCCCTTCTAATATGTGCTCAGATTTTTCCCCTCCAATCTCTTGAGTGTCTGATTTCAAAGAGCTGCTGTGCTTTTAATCTTGCCTTCAAAATTTATGTGCTGGGCAAAATTGAGCTTGGAATCAGTCTGATGCACTCAACAAATGTTCATGCTTAGCAGCTACTTGCAATTAGTATAATTTCTTCTTATTATATATTTCTGGTTAATATCAAGGATTCCTCAAAAGAGCCTTAGGCACTGTAGCTCGCAAGCCTGAAGAAACCTGTAGAGAGGAGACTGACGAAATTACAGTTTAAGACATGCAAGGAAAACCCTAGAAGAATGTTCTGGGGATAACCCACAGAATCGCTAGGGACTGAAAACCCAATCCACGTTGGCCCAGGCGGGATTCGAACCCGGGTCACAACGGATCACTGACTCCTCAGATAGCAAACTTGAAAACAGTATCATCACCTTGGTTGAGAATCTTAACGGCCGTTTTTAAAGTTTAAAGGCTTAATTCAGATTTGGATGCTTAATTTTCAGACTTCGTTTTTCATTTTTCTGTTCTTCCCGTAGCTGCCAAGAAGCTCGGCAGTGAAGATGTTGGCGATGGGGAAAAGGCGACGACGAAGAAAAAAGCCAAGGCCTTCAAGGTGCTGGATGCCAAGACGGGTCAAAACTTAGGTAAGTCGCAAAGAAATCATGCTTGAAAGAAAATGAAAACATGGGTTTTTCCCAAAGAAGGCCTTTTGGATCACAACTGGGTTCTGTGTAAACAGCTCTTTCCAAGAGCTCGCGAGAAAATTCACCGGCTTGCTCAGGTGGGACTTGAACCACAGGCTCCCGTCTTACAAGTTCAGGTGTCTTTACCGTTCAGCGACTGATTTTGTTGGAACAGCAGAAGCTATTGCAGTTGATTACAGAGAAACAAATTCCTTCTTTCTATCCACTACAATCTGGGGTTTTTTAACTTCTTTTTTGGAATTTGACCTTGTTATCTTGGACTCGGTCATATATGTGATGCGATCAGGCTACATGATTCGTTTGTCGGAAATTTTCATTTGGCGATTCAGTCCAAAATAGGGCCACTTCATCACATCACTTCATCACATCTCTTGGTGTTCCGACTTCCATAATTTTTTAACTAAAGATGTTACCTGCATGCGGTTTTCACAGCAGTAATGCTAAGATTGTGCTCTTTTCAAATCTGTAAAAAAAAAAAAAAAAAATTGACCAGGGTCGACAAACGACTCATTTAGCTTGATCACATGACATATTTTAACAGTTTTGGCAATTCCAGCATCATGGACATTACATCTAAAAAAAAAGAAAGAAAAATAAAAGGAGGAGTAATGTCCGTGACACAGCCAATTAACCATGATATCTTCACTAGTGTTGCCAAGTGGTTAGGGTTCGTGACTCATGATCAGAGGGTCACAGGTTTGAATCAAGCTGCTGGTCATATGTTGTGTCCTGGAGCAAGCCACTTCACCCCCACTTGCCTCTCTCCACCCAGGAGTATAAATGGGTACCGGCATTAGCTGGGGGTAACCTGCGATGGACTGGCATCCCATCCAGGGGGAATAGACGTATACTCATTCGTTTCATGCTACTGAAACCGGAAATAAGCGCCAATGGGCCACATTGGCTTGTGACAGACTTTACTTCTACTTCTTCTTCAGATAAATGATCCAAAACTCGTAGTCTGTAATCTCTTGGCCATTACAAGGTGATGGATGTGTAAGCTTTAAACAAAAAAAAATTCAGGTATATTTGCTAAGCTCCTTAAGTCCCCCAAAATTGTCTGATTTTTTTAATTGCCCAGTTGTTGTTTAGTATTTCTGACAATATGTGGTTTTTTCCCTCATTTTATAGCCATCCTGCTGGGTTCCCTGCGTGTCCCCCACCAGAACATGAAGCGCTGGATCCTGGAGGTTGATGAGAACCATCTCAACGAAGGGATGATCCAAACCTTACTCAAGAACCTGCCGGAACCGGAGCAGATCAACAGTGTCTACGCGCTCAAGGATGAGTTCGAGGACATGGCCGAGGCTGAACAGTTCTGCGTCACTGTGAGTAGACTGGGATTTTTTTTCTTCGGGGGGAAAGGGGGGGGGGGGCTGGATGGGGGTTTGTTTTGGTACAGGAAGATTTATGGGTTTGGCTATTTGCTTTTGGATCAGCCCATAAATGTGGGGTCCAAAAGTGTGCAATTTTTGGGTGTCCCTGTTACGCCTGACCTGTGTAATTTGTCATGCAAGTCTCATTAAAATTGACTGTGAACAATTTTGGAAAAACTTGATTGGCAGGTAGTTTGCCTTACATGATCTCACTTGCAGATACCGGTAGAAGACATTAAAGATTGTGTCCTGAATTTATAAAGTCTTATATTCGATGTAACAGGAAAACAAAAAAAAGTGCACCAAAAATGTACGGATTGACCAGTTTAGTCAATCTACCGGTATTTCCGTCGTTTCCCTTCCCCCAAACGAAGTGATTGTGATCTTCCTTCCCCTAAGTGCTTGTGATCATTAGAACACGTTTGTGGTTCCCTTGAAGAAAAAAGACTACTAAACACTTACCTACAAACACTATGAAACACTATACACATGTATCTGTATGTTCCAATGTACAAGCATTACATTCACTGTGTGGACTTCCGAACAAAAGATGTCCACATAAACCAGTTTTGAGATACGTTGTGTGGACTTGCTCACATCCACACAAGGCTCCCCCCCTCTGGAAAACAGAGGCATTCTCTCTGGTTTAGAGGCATTTTGGGGGTTAGATTTATCTGTCGCAAAATGAAGAAGAAACACTAAAGGGAATCATAGACAAAAATGGGTGACAGAGTTTTCACAGTGTGAGTAAAATGAGTTTTTTCCACAGGTTTTTCTTAACTACACGAAAACAAAGGAATGTCCACACTAGTTATGTAACGTCAACATGTATGATCAACAGCATGCTTGACATTGAAGAGAAAATGTCTGTCATTGAGGGATCTAGTACTTGTGCACATAGTGCACAGTGCTGGGCATAGTACTTCTGCATGTATTTGTACAACTTGAAATTAAAGTTGTTTGTTGTTTGGTTTGGCCAGATTGGATCAATCAAGCGTCTGATACCCAGACTACAGTCCATCAGTTTCAAGATGAGGTTCCAGGAGTCCGTCCAAGACATCAAACCAGTGAGTTGAATGGAACCAGTCTAAGAAGTAGCAAGCAGTGATAATTAACTTTTATTACATTGGTGTAAATGAACCTTTTGTTCATATTGCAAAAAAAAAAGGGGCTGGAAATTTTGATATTCATCTGTATCATCTGTATCATGTAGTTGGCAAAGCATCCCAGGGGAAACATCACACCAACTTAGAGAGAAGACAATGAGAAGAAATTACAGTTTTAGAGGTGGGAGGAAAAGCCCATAAGAATAGTCTGGGGGAAAAACCTGACTCCCCATATTGAATATGATATGTGCTGGATATTGTAAAGACGGTAGTGACTATGGGCTCTACGCACAATCAAGAGAAGGCAATTTTTGTACCACTTTCGAGAGCTCCGTGGACGTGACTTACCATGTGCGCGTACTGGTTCGCGCACGTACTGGGCAATGTATTTGAATGTCTCTCCCAGTGGTCTCGCCCAACTCTCCCTTCCCTACCATTGAGGGGGTACTTGTGCACGGAGCCCATATTTAAAAGGAAGATACAACCCTTGCAAACATCACAAAACGAAAAGATCAAATTATCACAAAATACCTTACTGGATTGTTAGAGAATGACAGTCTAAAGCATCCTGTAAAATCGTGGCTCCTGGTGTGCTGACATTTTCAAGAAAAATGGTATTTGGCCGACCAGCGTTGGAGAAAATTGGCTTTTTTTCAAACACTGCTTGCAAACTCTGTGCTGCAAAAACTGCAAAAACTCTTTGCAATTGATTACACACCTGTGAATGGGGTATAAGCCTGCTAGACTGATTCTCTAACCTTACAATTCCCATAAGTCTATAAATTCTCCGTTTCATTTGAGTAGGGTCTAGGAACCAGACTACAAGAACATGAATGGTTTTTCTAGCATCTACTAGCCCAAAATGTGAAAAGAGTTATTTTAACAATATTTGCTAAAACGTACTAATCCTTCAAATCCATCTATTTCTGAAAATTGAAGCAAAAGCAAATGTTGTACATTCCCTTTAATTATGCAGTAAATAATGTGAAAAAGTTTGAAGAAAAGTTAACTGTGAAAGCAAAGAAAAATCAAATTTGCTCTAGCAGCTGAGATAACTAGTCATGCCCTGCTTAAGTGTTTGAATTTCACAGTCCCGTGCCATGGTATAACCATCATGTCTGTTTAATCTTGATTTGTTATCCTGTCAGGTGGTTGTCATGGGAACCAAGGCATGCGAGGAGATCCGAGATAGCAAGAAGTTCAAACGCTTACTGGAGATCCTTCTACTTTTTGGCAACTACATGAACACGGGCTCAAGGAACGCGCAGTCATTGGGGTTCGACCTCAACTACCTGACAAAAGTAAGTACTCTGGGCCCACTTGCATGGTACTGCTTAAAAGTTAGCAAAAAAGTTGTTCTTCCTATTATATCCTATATAAAATATCTTACGCTGTCTGTCTGTCTGATGTCTACGTGTCACATTTTTTAGTAAACGGCTTAAGAAGTGTGCGAAAACACAAAATGCAAGGGTTTGGAGAGGCTTGGTTATTTTATACTGGTCTTTAAGTGATATATATTTGCCCCGATTTCACTGTTCTCTGAAGTCACAGTTGGCATGTTAAAAAAAAATGGTTTGTTTTGTCCATTTTTTTTCTTTCAGACTTTGAATAGTTAAATATTACATTATCTCTATGAAAACACTCCACAACGTATCGCTATTACGCAAAACATAACGTTCATGATAAAAAATGTGCCTAAATACCCTTTAACTGTCGATCATATGAATTTGTACGATAGGAATATGCATTTCGAAACCTGTCTGAAATCTACGTCAATTGAGGGCACACTGATCAGTTTTCCTTTTTTTTTCCCATCGAAATTACATTCACTCTATTCACATACAGAGGTTTGAAAATTGTATCATACTAGTCCATATCATTTTTTCCACGAAGTTTTATGGTAAACAATTTTTGATTTGCAGCTCCGGAACACAAAATCTGTCGACAACAAAATCACCTTCTTGAACTTTGTGGTGGATATAATCGAGACCAAATACCCCGAGGTCTCTGATTTCCTGGAGGAGATCAGCCACGCAGAGAAGGCAGCCAGAGGTAACGGAAAACTGATGAATATATAAATATCAAATGCGATTGGACAGTTGGATTATGTCTTAACAACCCGAGTCTATGCCCCCAATGCAAAATAATACTGTGTGAGTGGAATCCAGTATCCGGGTTTTACAATTCACCATGTGTAGAGTCATTGCAGTGTGTTGGGTAAAAAACTTGTGTTTCTGACCGAGAAACAATTCCAATTTTGATACAAAATACTTGGGAAAATTGTTTACCCTCCTCATAGACTTTGTACACAACACAACTAGTGCAACATCAGGATACTTTATCGTGATTTTGTATTGGTTATTTTTTAGGGTAACTGGGTAATTTTTTATTTCAATTTTTATGCCCCGCGGCGAAGCCGAAGGGGCATACTGTTTCCGCCTTGTCCTTCCGTGGGTGGGTGGGTGGGTGGGTGGGTGTGTGGGTGGGTGTGTGGGTGTGTGTGTGGGTGTGTGTGTCCGGACAAATCTTGTCAGCGCGATAACTTGAGAAATACTTAACATATGAACTTGAAATTTGGTTTGTGGATTGTTCTTGGTAATCCTAAGAAGCCTTTCGCATTTGGGGCCAAAAGGCCAAAGGTCAAGTTCACAGTGGCTAAAACAATAGAAATCTTGTCAGCGCGATAACTTGAGAAATACTTTACATGTGAACTTCAAATTTGGTTTGTGGATTGTTTTTGGCAATCCTAAGAAGCCTTTCGCATTTCGGGCCAAAAGGCCAAAGGTCAAGCTCACAGTGGCTAAAACAATAGAAATCTTGTCAGCGCGATAACTTGAGAAATACTTTACATGTGAACTTCAAATTTGGTTTGTGGTTTGTTTTTGGCAATCCTAAGAAGCCTTTTGCATTTGGGGCCAAAAGGCCAAAGGTCAAGTTCACAGTGGCTAAAACAATAGAAATCTTGTCAGCGCAATAACTTGAGAAATACTTTACATGTGAACTTCAAATTTGGTTTGTGGATTGTTCTTGGCAATCCTAAGAAGCCTATTGCATTTGGGGTCAAAAGGTCAAGTGTCAAGTTCACAGTGGCTAAAACAATAGAAATCTTGTCAGCGCGATAACTTGAGAAATACTTAACATATGAACTTCAAATTTGGTTTGTGGATTGTTCTTGGTAATCCTAAGAAGCCTATTGAATTTGGGGCCAAAAGGTCAAGGGTCAAGTTCACAGTGGCTAAAACAATAGAAATATTGTATTTATTCTGAGATTAAAGGGATTAGGGATTAATTCATATAAAACCTACAGAAGACACTAATGCTGTCAATGAATGTTCCATGTGACCAAGGTACATGTAAGTTGATGTTAAAAGAGTGGTGATTCAGAGAAATGATCCAAAACTCTTAGTGTGTGATCTCCTTGACCAATACTAGATGATGGATGTACAAGATTTGAAAAAAAAGTACATATTCAGGTTTAATCACTGAGCTCTTAAAAACTCTGTCACGGACATTACATGACGCAGGAATTGCCCCTTTTGAATTTCAAGTCTAATAAAGTGGAACGCCGCTATAATGAACATCGCGGGATCCACAGACATGACAGAAAATGTTCGTAATAGTGATCGTTCGGTATAGCAACTTTAAGCTGCTGGTGCTCTGGTACTCACTTTTCAGTAACAGCGCCCTTCATAACTTCAATCTGCACACCCTGGTAGTTACTGAAAGACGACTTCGAACACGTGCCGGCTATTGAACTATATAATTCCACAGTTTTGCGCTTACTACCTACATCGATGGGTGGCCTTCCCCTTCTATTCCTTGGCATGCTTGGGGAAAAAAATAGCCACTTGTCACTCTTCTGTTGACATATTTCAAAAACAATGTTCGGTTGTTTTTTCTACACAAAATTCAGGAGCCAAGGACGATGTTCGGTATAGCCGAATGTTCGGTATAGCGGTGTTCGCTATAGCGACGTTCCACTGTAATGCAAAATGAAAACTGTTTTGTAGTGTTAAAGTCAGAGTCCAGTCACAAGTGTGGTTACTGGTAACACGGAATAATCAATAGCAAATATAATGCCTTCATCACAGTTCATTTGAATGGCTTTCGATTCAACTTGAGCCTGGTTGACTTGTGATGGGCCTGTGAGGACTTGTTAGGACTTATGACGGACTCAACTACACCAGTCAAAACCTTCCGGGATAGATATTCTTAGATGCAAAACGAATGATGTTTTGCAATGTCAGTATCCATGTTTTTCCTTGACTCCTTGTGCCTAGGGGTTAAGAGCACCGCACCGGACCTATGGTGTTTCAGAGAGAATGTGGATTCGAGCCTGGGTCTGGTCTCTTGTGCCCTTCAGTTGAGGGCAAATGTGACTGCAGTGTGATGCTAATAGACATGTCTCTCTTCACTTTCTAGTGAGTGAGGCATAGTCAAATAACTATTGTTCCTCTTCTTATTTTTTTGTTTTTTTTATTGTGGGATGGTCTGTTGAAACAAGCACTTAGTTACCCCCATGGGATATTCTGCTTGTTTTCATCGGGGTGCTCCTTAATGTGAGAAGGTCATAAAAAATTTTTAAAAACAAGGCACTTAACCATTATTGCTTCGTCCTTTGAAGGGGATGTAAAGCCGTAGGTCCTGTGTGTTGTGTTTCTGGCCTCCTGTTAAAACTCCCCTGCTGAGTATTTAGGAGAAGAACCAACTAAGTGCCAAGTAGCACTGCCGAAAAAGTTCACCTCTCCGTATTGTGAATTACTCTGACTGTATTTTTGTTTCTCCTCTACAGTACCTGTGGATACAGTCAGTGGCAACCTGCGCAACATGCTGAAGCAGATCAAGCAGCTGGAGACGGACATCAAGTCCTTCGTGCCCAGCAAAGAAGGCAACGACCAGTTCAAGGAAGTCATGGGAATATCCTTTGTCAAACTCGAAGTAATTTTGTTTTCCTGTGCAACGTACGGGGAAGATACTGACACAGTACAGTGATGGGACTTGAACCTGCAACCTGCGGAACACAGTATTTAGGCTCAACCAAATGAGCTGTGGAGCTTATCTTGTAGCAACAGAATCAACATTCCTGATTCTCCATGCATTAAAAACTCGACTGAATTTGGGTGATTCACAATGCAGTGTGCCACCAAGAGTTTGCCATGGAGAGTTCATTTTTCTCAGTGCATTGTTGGATATGGTCGAAAAATTCGTATCGCGGACATTTGAAATTGTTAGGTTTATCCGGTTAGTAGTTTCGTAAGCGTGTGATTCAAGTACCTGTTGCCCTTTTCTTTTCTTTTTATTAATATGGTGTTTTTTGTAAGGCGGCAGAACGCTATGCCCCAATCTATAACAAATTAGCTCAAGTTGTCTGCTGACACTCGTTCAAATGGGCCATGTTTTGTCGACCCGAAACTCGAAAAATGGACTCTCCATGGCAAACTCTTGGTGGCGCACTGCATTTTGAATCGCCCCGAATCGCCACACTCTCCTTGGCGTAAAACGGTGTACGCCAGAGCATTTCCTATAGGAAACAAAATCTGTGACCTTATTTTGAAGTGGCGTCATCAGTCAAAACAGTAAACATGAAGTGATATCTGTTTTTTAAGCTCTGTGATCGCCTTACTTAGGTAGTGCCATGGTATCTTACATGTTGCAAACATTCTGAATTTGAAGAGGCAATTTAAAGGGACACTGGGTCCTGGAACAGCCCAATTGGGCTTCAAAACGCGCTTTGAACGAAATGATGTTTATCGGAAAGAACATTTGAAAGTAGGATAAGAAAATATATTTTGTGCATTGGTGATTGGTCACCGCTGTTCCCGAGACAAACGTGTATATCGTACGAACAGGGAACGACTGGAAAAAAACATTCGTGCTCTGTCGTGTCCGATGTAAACAACCGGGTTTTTCTTTCGTCTTTTCTGGGGAACGGTAAGACATTAAGTTGGTTTCCTTTCAACCAGATGTTTGATAAGTAGGATAAGTAAACAATCCAAAACATGAAATGTTCGGGGATTTCAGGACCTAGTGCCCCTTTAATATCCAAACCATGTTGGTCAAGGGAAGAGGCATAAACAATTTTCCAGAACTATTGAACTTGTTTGCCGTGTGTTCCTTAACCCTTTCCTGTGACCTCACGAGTTTGTGGTGCAAGCGAGGGAGCAGTACGAGATGCTTGAGAGCATGTTCACCAAGATGACTGACCTGTACAGCTACCTGGGCGAGTTCTACTGCTTTGACGTCTCCAAGAGGCCGTTTGAGGAGTTCTTTGGCGATCTCAAAATCTTCACCGATGAGTACAAGGTAAATTTGTATTGTTTGCACTCAACATTAGCGTGCTACTGAGATCACAAGTTCAGTCAAGAACTATGGTTAACTATACTTCGGCCAACCTTCACTGAATTCACTATTGTCAATGGTTTGCCTAGTCTAGTCATATATTTGGTACAAAGGGCGGATCCAAAAAAAAATGGGGGGGGGCCAAAACATTTGGATTCTAGATGCTCTGTGGTGCGATCTGAGGCAATTTCTGACCACTCGAACCAATTTGTTTTTGAGGAAAAGATGGTGGTGTATGCATTGCCTGCCTTTATTGCAACGTAACTTAAAAAAAAATAAAAAATTGGGGTTCGTTTTGGGGCGGCCATGGTCCCGTTGGCCCTCCCCCCCAGATCCGCCCTTGTTTAGTACTGCATTGCAGGCTATTGGAAGTTGCACGTTTCAAAATCTACAGCAGTTAGGCGGGACCATGTAGTTTTGTTCGATCCGAGTTTGCGTAGAGATATTCTCACTCCGAGATAGCTTGCAGACGCAACATACACCACAATAAATCAACCCCTAGGTGACAAGTCAACCAGTGGTCAGTCTTTGAGCCTGCTCCGAGTTGGCCCTGCTTCTAAGAAGCATGTCTAGTGTTTTAGTCGAGTCCCTCACAAGTCCGGTTGCAAGTAGGTCACAAGTCAATTCACAAAATATAGGGGATGAACACAAAGAAAGGAATAACTTTGTCGCAGTTCATTTGAAGAGCTTGTTGCATGATTTGGGACTTGAAGACTTGTGATTGACTTATGATGGATCATGGACTTTTGGGAACTAAAGAGAACACGTGATGGACTCGACTACAACAATGCCTGCTCCATCTGCGAGTTGACCCTCTACCAGATCACCAGCCTAACCATCCAACCAATCGTCTTCTTTTTGTGTTGTCACGGTAAAAGCTGTCGGCCAAAGAGAACAAGAAGAGGCGGGAAGCGGAGGAGAAGGCGAGGAAGGCCAAGGAGGCCAAGCAGAAGGCCGAGGAAGAGAAGCTGGAAAAGAAGAGAAGGAAGGACCAACTGGCTGGAATGAAACTAGGTCGGTATAGAATCTGAGATTCCAGACAAATGCAAAAATTTGGGAACTGATTCCGTTTGCAAGTCACAAGTCTGTTTAGAATAAGCCAAAGTCGGTATTCCAGCTGCGCATGTGCACTTCAAGATTTTACCATTTTCCTTTCGGGATAAGCAAAATTCAAGAAATTGTCTTTTTCTGAGGTAACCCAAATTTTAAACAGTTTGGAAAGTGAAGTGTTTCAAGTGTTCTGTATGCCCCAACGTTTGTGTGGAATTTTTTTTTCATGACTGTATGAAAAGTTGTAGAATGCAGAGTTCACCACGTTCCCTGTACACTTGTGTGCATTTGTCTGCCGCAGTTGGAATACCAATTGGGCTTATTGACTCCAAATTATTTTCCAAAGCCAAACCAAAAGGAGCAAACTTGATAACATTTGTTTACTAGATGTAATGATGCAAAAAACTGCAAATACTAGCCAATTTCACTCACTCCTTAGACATTTTTTGGTCATTTTTCAGAACATCAGATGGCTTGAATATTAGCAGATTGTTAAAGGACTTGTGCATCTGAAACTGGCTCTACCCATGTTCTTAAATATTTGTTGATTTTCTTATCTGCCAAACAAATTTTCTTTTTGAATATTTTATTTGGAAAATGGCCAAAATTTATATTTGTCAATTTTGGACATTTTCAACCTTTCTAAATATATGCTTATATTTTTTTGTCGTTTTTTGCACCCATAATGATGTAAATAATGATGTAAATACTTCAAACTTTGTAAAGAAATGATTCCATAGCTAAACATACATATTTTTCTTGTGTCATTTAAAGGTTAAAAAAAATTATCTTTACAGTCGACTCCCGTTATAACGAGCTCGGTCATAACGATAACCCGGATGTAACGAGCACATTCTCCTAGTCCCGATCAATTTGTGTACATTACTATGGGGAAATATTTGGTTATTACGTGCACGGACATAACAAGACTTCGGCTATTACGACGATTTTGGCTGACCCAATGCGAGGAAAAGCATTGTTCTCAACCCATTTACAACGACATCTTTTCAAAACTACGGGCATTGCAGCTTGTCAACGACAGACCTTTTGTCCCGAAACGGGTATCATGCTCCCGTCTTCCAATTCAAGCAACACACTTAAGCTTCACCCATCAATGTACCTTTGTAAAGACTTCAACCCAACGTTATTTCATCTCGCCGATCTTTATAAATAAATTCAATGGGACTGTGATAATCGGCGCAGTGGACCGCTGGTCTAGTCGCTAATCCCCCGCTGCGGTTTCCCTTAGCGTGACCAGGTTTGAAGTTTGCTTACGACTGCGGTACCACGTTTCTATATTATTACAAACTAACAATAGGGGCGCTCAGGAGTTAAGTGTTAACATTGTAAGGAATAGCGGCTAGCCTTTACTACCGCCCGAACATCGGGTGCGTAATTGCTCCCTATTGTTGGCTTGTGGCTATAAAAAAAATACGAAGAACACACCATCACAAAACAAACGGCTCTTTTCAGAGCCACCACAACTTCCAAAAAGAGATAATTCAGTCCGTCTTCCAAAAATAAAGTTTAAAACATACCGTGGTTCCCACCCCCAAAAAAGAATCCGAAGAATAAAAAAATTAAGAACCCCTCCGGCCCCGCCGAAAAAACAATCCCAATGAAAACAGGTTTCCAAGATCTTCAAACGCCCCACAACATATACATTGTACAAATTTTAATCCAAAATTATTACTTTTGTTTATTTATTATTATTATCTTAAAAGAATCCCTCCCGACAAACAATAATCACCAATTGCTGCGAAATTACACATGGAGACACTAAAACCCGGAAGTAATATTAGCGCCCTCTCTTGCCCGATTCCAGCAAATGCAAAACAAAAGCAAAATGTCACTTGGCACGAATGTGCGCTATAGTTAACCGAAATAATTACAATTTCAAAGAATCCCTTCAGAAACAATAATACCCAACTGTTCCAAAAAGTCAACAACCATAAGGCATCTAAGGATCAGGAGTCATTAAAACCCGGAAGTAATGCATGTATTGGCGCCCTCTCTTGCGCGATTCCAGCAAATGCAAAATGAAAGCAAAATGTCACTCGGCACGATTTGTGCGAGTGACCTACTTGCCTGATTCTTCTCAGCGATGATGCCTTTTCCTCCGGATTCAGGTCCTCAAATATTGAACAATGTTCCCTCAAAGGTATTTTATTTATTTCATTTATTCATCACCATCAGTTAAATATTTAATATACATTATTAACAGACGTACATACCAACAAATGACCATCTTTTCATGTCTTCGGACGTGCGTTACACGATTAAAACACGCACGCACATGTACCGTACCTTGTGCACAACGAATGGGGAAAACTGCGCTCCGGTTTTAGCGAGGTTCCGGCTATAACGACAGTATTGTGAAAGTCCATCGGACCTCGTTATAACGGGAGCCGACTGTATATCTATTTCACAGCAAAAATAACGAAGAGCAAAACTTTGTTCTCATAAAAGCTTCTTTGCACCTTCCATATAGCAGCTCATAAATCATTATGAAGAAAACGACTATCTGTTTTCGCTTTTCTTCATGGTTTTCATTAAAAATGTGTTTTTGCCTTTGGTTTATTCTGCTTGTAGATGACGACCAGGCAGGCGTGATGGATAATCTACTGGAGGCATTGCAGAGTGGTACGGCCTTCAACAGAGGAGACAAAGGAGGCAGGAAGAGAACGCCCAGAGCGGCTGGAGGTGAGTCTACCAATCTTCTATACATTTTGGGGTGCAGGCCAGTAAACTGGCCCAAAATACGCCGGCCAAATCATGATTTGTATGCCCTCAATTCTAGTTGCTATCAGAGCATTTTGTGGGCCATGAACTTGAGGGGTTGTAAAAAAGGTTGCCAGCTTGTGTTTCTGTGAAAGTCAGATGAACTTTTAGGGGTGATCTTCTTTGGATGGAATTTTCTCCCAAAAGTCAATGGTTAACCCCAAAAAAACTGAGCAGAAAAAGACAGATGATGAAATAAGCTTTAATTTGATGTGTGTCTCAAACACCTTGGAGAGTTCTGAGTATTTGTAAATAATTTTGGGAATTGAGTGCAATTATCACCGCGGTCTGTGGCAGTTTATTTACTAGTCTGCAACCCGAGTATAGGACTGTGGATCTTGGTGGTTGGTGTGTTGATTGCGGGGCTTGTGTTCAGCCAGTTGGGTTGCAGTGCATGTGTGCTTGGTCACGGTACCTTGTCGTTGATGGCTTCACCCAACCCAGATGTAAATGGGTACCTGTGAGGGCAGAGTATGTGTGAACTAGCCATGTTTAGTATGACTCAATCTGTTGTTTGGTTCTTGAGATGGAAAATATAATTTGGTATTTTTTTATTTTTTTTTCAACTGGCAGAATTTGTACGACATACTCATGTGTAACCACAGACTGGGACCTTGAGTGAAGAAAAACATGCAAAACAAGATCAGGCCAGCTTTACTCACTATTTACCGGTAGCTGACAAAATTCTCCAAAAATTTCATGGGGCGAAGAAAAGCTCCTCAGTATTTCACCAGCCAAGTTTCAGGTCTCAATTCAAGGAGACTCTTCTTTAACATTTTGCACCTGAGAGTGAAGTCAAGTGATATCAATTTAAAGTTAAAAGCTAGACTGGTGAATGCCCAACTTTTTTTCAAAGATTGACTTTTCAGTAGTCTGTTGGCATGACCATAGAGAATGTGTAGAAATAGAGCAAGGTACAAGACATTTCTTTTGGCACAGTTGATTGATGCAGTACTAAAGGGGTGTTGGACTGGTTGTTTCATGTGCCAGTCTAGTTTCTTGTGTTGCATGTTTTCAATACCTTAAGTTTTGGGACTCTCATGCACAGTATTGAGAGTCCCAAATTGTTAGGCTAGTGTAACCATCGACATTGATACACTTGAAGGCTTGTCAGTTCTAAATCCAGAAAACTCATTTTGTACATTGTTTTCAAGAAAGAAGTTTCAAGTTTTAACTCTTAATTTAGATTAGCCTAAATTGGACGGAATTTTAACAATGCAGAGACATAGTCGAGTCCATCACAAGTCCCTGCAAGTCCATCATAAGTCCTCCAGTCCCAATTCAACTCACAAGCTATGCAATTGAGCTTCGACAAAGGCATTCCTTTGTTCTTGTTCATTCACTGTTACTTGTGACTGGACTTGTGATGGACTGGACTACATCCCTGATAGAGTTGCCTAAAATCAGAATGTAAACTGATCTATGACATTTTAGCTCGTTATCTTGAGCAGGTGCCGTTTTGAGCTGAGATATTGTTTTTTTTTTCATATTCACAGCCGAGAGAAGAAGACAGCTGGAGAGAACGAGGTCGAGGGTTGGCCTTCTGGCGCCCGCGACGGCCAAGGAGATCTCACTGGACGACGACACCGAGGCGCCCAAGGCGCGGCAGCACGCCGTGACCAACAACCGGACGCGACAGCGGAAACCTGTCAACGCCTGGGGCGAGGGAAAGGAAGGAGAAGACTTGATGGAACGCCTGAAGAACTTATAGTGATCGGCATTGCCAATAAAAAATTAACCATCGTGATGCCAACTTTCTCCCAAGTTCCTGTGGGGGTTTCGGAAGGGGCAACATGAGTGCTTTGCAGATGATGGAGAATTTTTTTTGTGTCGTCACTGCGTAGTTTCTGCAAGACTGCATGGAATTGGTGTCTCCACTTTGTCTTCGGGATTGGTTTTAGGGTATATCCCAAATTCCGAAAGACAAGTGAATATCGCTTCCGAACTCCGTTTTTTTTTCAACTCAACTGAAAGGCCCAAGGTGCTAAAGACCTCACGAACCACAAATTGGCACATCGAGCATAACTGCCAACACAATAGAGTGGCATGCAGAGATGCAGAAGTAAGTACAGACATTTTCATCGTGCCTTGGATGCCAAAATATCAAGTAAAAGATTTATAGACCAGTGATGATCACGACTGTGGATACCAGTGAACTTGTATGTAAAAAACCACATAGAATGAGTGGTTTACCTGGACAAGATGTAGGTTTAAAACTGCACTGTTAGGAAAGCACTGGGGTAGTTTTGCTTAAACAATAACACATCAAAGAAAGGGGAAAAAACCCATGTTGGTTTATAAGTTTTGCATCGAATGCAACATGAATTTTTACAAAACAGGGATTTCTGTTTATACACAGTGAACTTGGATTAATTAACGGGAGTACGGTTTTGAGATTTTTTTTGGTAAACAATCTGTGATGAAATATGATTGACTGCCTCAATTCTTTCGCTTTGTATATAATATTGCTCTTTTCCTAAAAGAAAAAAAATGCTTCCTGAGTGTCAAGCCATTTTTGTCAACGCGAAGCAATCTGACATTGTTTGGAGAGCCTGATTTTGCACTTTTTGCTAGCTTTGCCTTGCGATATATAGAGAATGTACGGTATCTATGGCGATGACAAAGTGTGTGCCGTAACAAATATTTTCTAACAGCTGAATTTGACTGAGCGAAAAATTTGTGTAATGTATCATTTTTTTCGTGGTAACCGCTGGGGTCTTTCATTTGTTAAAAAAAAAAAAAAAAAAAGGACACCAAAATGTACTAATATTATAAAGAAAATGCTCTAGTTTGTTATATATTTGAGACTTTATTCCCATTATATATTTTAAGTACATTAGATTAATGTATGGTTCAAAAAAGTTATTTTCTTTATTTGGATTCCAAAGCTATGGTAAAGTGTTGATTTTTTTTTTTCCTGCAAAATTTCCTTTCAACTTAACTGCTTATATCATTCCAAAAAGTCAGCGTAGATCATAGAGCTATTTAATGACGAGTGCTTATGAGTGATACAGAGTGTAGCTTGCTTGGGACATACACAAGATTGGACACAAACCTACGGAAAGCGTGGAATTTACTAGATTTTTAGTAGGGCTGATCTGATACACCGTGCCCTCTGGAGACATGCACACAATAGGGAACAATAGATTGTATACGTCTCCACAGGGCAATTTCTATAGATGAATTTCTGTCGCAAATGGTAGAGTTTGAGAATAGGGATATTTAGTCCGAATTTCAGCCAAGGAAATTAATTCTGGTTAAAATAAGAGCATTTTGAAACTACACTTTCAAACTCGAAAACTTTAGTACACGAGAACAAAGAAATGTCTCCACAAGGATACAAATTTCAGTATGTGTGTTTGCATACATGTATGTACCGGTATCTGTATTGTAAAAAAAAAAGGTAAAGGGGACGAACCTGTGTTCACAGGAACGGAGTGCCCATCTCTCTTTCAAAGCGATTGGGCCAGACTCGAGTCCACGAAATGTTGCTGTGGGGGGATCGCCACACCTCCTCCACAGCGAGTCCGTTACCTTCCCAGCATTGAATAATGCCGGTACCCATTTAACACCTGGGTTGAGGGGAGCAATTGAGGTAAAGCGCCTTACTCAAGGGCACAACACGCATGGCCACGGCGGGGCTCGAACCCACAACCTCACGATCATGAATCCTGTGCTCCACCGCTAGACCACACGTCTACTGTATTGCATTCAATACCTGTTACAGCCAGTGTGCCACAAACTGGAACGCACATTCAGTGAAAGGGACAACGCAGACAAGCACATTTCATTTACCCTCCTGCTGTCTGAACAGTCACAGACAGTCAAACAAAAATCAATCCTTTCCCCTGCCATGCCTTTTACACAGGCCAGTCACCAACAGTCGGAGCATCTTTCAAGCAAGCACTGTGACTAGTCAAATTCAGTCAACAGACAAAAGCAGGCAAGTGGTAGGCACAGCTGGCTTATCAATCACCTACAGTCAAAGCATAGCTGTAGGGCAATTCCACGGTAACGGAAGGACGTTTTCACTCATTAAACAAAATTTCAAATGTGTGTATCACAGACACTGTTCATGGTTACAGCAAACAAATGTCACAATTGTATTGCTATAATGCTACTTTCATTTTCCACACTTTTGGGGGGCATGAATGCCTCCCGTTTATGAATTATGAATATTAATGAGGTCGGTAACGGAAGGACGGTAAAACGGACAAGGGTTTTTTCAACTTACTCGCGTTTTGCGTAAACTCTGTGAATTTTATGGGGCAATTATATTTTAAAGGTAGGAAATGGGATCCCTGAAGCTTTATCCATACTATACCGCCTTTCATTTGACTTTAAGTGTTTCGGTAATATAATTACAACGTTTTAAGCAGATTATAATTTGGTAACGGAAGGACGGTAACGGAAGGACAAAAGGTTTACTCAATTATAGCATGAACAAAATGTGAATTTACACTAATTATACAAGTAAAACAAATTGCTCAAATGTGTAAGTGAATGTGAAATCAACAATATGCAGACCTGGCATAAATAATTATACCCAAGAAACTATTGAGATAAAGATCGAAGCCTGCTTATTAATGATAACAAAAGAAAAACGAAAACAACCCAAAACACATAATTCACGATCACTGGACTACTACAGAAATAGACTTCAAACCCATCACCTCAATCCTTAAAAGTTTAAATACACAGTTTTTGAACTCTTGAGTATATTGGTTACATGTTCACCAACAACTTTTAATAATAATACCGGTAGGTTCAAAGGTTTACCTAAAGGGGGGGGGGGGGGGGGGGGGGGGCGACCAGCCTACATGTACGGTACATTTAAGGTAAAAACATCTACCGGTAGAACTGATGGCTTCAGTTAGGTGTTGCTTTTAATTGAACTCTAAAATCAATGTTTGAAATCAAATTACAATGATTTAGAGTAGTAACAATTAATTTATAAACATCCAAACTGAAATTGTTAACTTGGGCATAATTTGTCAAAGATTGCACCTCACATATCTTACACATGTAAATTGAATGAAAGTGCCCCAAAGTACCGGTACTTTCTGCCATCTCATTTTTGACTTAATTTGCTTCTGGAATGGCTTCACAGAATTCGTATTTTCTCTATTGTCCATGAATGCTGATGGCAGCAACTTAATGATTTGATTTTCTGCAACAACTCCATACATGTACAAGTACTGGTACATCAGCATATATGTACATGTACATTGTACATGTTGTACATGCCTGTGCCTTCCTTTGTAATAAACACCTTGCCCTGCTTATCCCGCTTTTGTGAAGGTGGGTCACATGAATGTCCTTTCAATGCTCATTGTACATGCATGTATTTGCAGTGATTTTCATTTTTCAAACATGAGCGCAAATGTCGTAACATTTGATAAAATACGATTTGTCCTTCCGTTACTGTCCTTCCGTTACCAATTTGGTAACGGAAGGACGTGATTTAATTAATTGTAATTAAAAACAAGAAGAACAGCAGTGTCAGTTATAATGTCATATTGAAGGCCTACCTAAACTTGCTTTGCACAATAACTTTCAATGCATTCATACTGCAAGTTTTAAAAATAAATTAAAAATATGTACTTTTTCGGTAACGGAAGGACATTTTCGAAGGCTGAAATATTAGAAGTCACTGAAGCGAAACAAATTACGCAAAATGTTAAAAACAAGTTTTAGTCGGTTTTTCAAGACCAATACTTTCTCATGACAGAAACTGATGGCATTAGTACATATTTTTGTGTGTCTATTGGTAGAATACTTTCATATCACTATTAATCACATTTTTAGGATTAAAACAGGATTATTACATAATCCTATTTTTTGGTACCGAAATGTATAAAAAATAAAATTCTGACTTCAAATCTTGAAAATATAGACTTTTAGCTTTCATTTGATGCCAAATTTGTTTAAGTCACATGTATTTGAATTTTTTGGTGTCATGTCCACTTTGGTGTGGAATTGCCCTGTATCAAGTTACATAAACAGTCACAGCCAGTCAATCCTGCTGTATGTAGGCTGGGAGCTCTTCACTGTTAAAAACAGTCACTTGATTGATTTTGACTTAAAGGACAATTTGGCACGGAACGTATGTTTGCATAGGAGGGTTAGGACATTCCTCAAAATCCGATTTAATCTGATTTCAGTGTATAATTGTTTCCCCATAACCATGATAACACGGACATGAATTCAGCAAATCTGTTCTCAAGATCTAGCAATTTAATATAGCTCTATGACCAAGACACATACAGGCGTGTTTAAACAGTTGTCACGTCTGACACTTTAGCCAAATGTTTTCAACTGGTAATAACATCACGTTACATGATGTAATGTGCATTCCTGGCATACAAGTGATTTTTTCTTTGCTATTTTTACTCGGATGTTCCCAAGACAAAAAAAATAATACTGAGACATTCGTACAACCATCCAAAATGACATAAAAGCATGTTCTGTCTTGCATCACACAGTTTAAAGGGAATGTACATCATTGGCATTTGCTGTAATTTTTAGTAATGAACAATATGAGGGGTTAGTATAATAGATCAAATATTGTTACACTGACATGTTTGAAGTTTTGTGTTAAAAAAATGCTGGAAAAACCAAGAAAAACTAAAATGTTCAAGTAGTCTGGTTCCCTGACTCCACTAAAGATGATATGGATCAATTCATAGATGCCGGAAAACTGTAAGGTAAGGGAACCAGTCTAGCTGGCCTGCACCCGTTCATGAACATGTAACCAATAGCAAACAAAATTTGGACTGAAAAATATGGTAAATTTGGAGCAGTAGTTGAAAAATAGTTAGGTTTTTCCAACGGTGGTCGGCCGACCACCGTTGGAAATTTACAATAAAATACCACTTTTCTTGAAAATGACTTCACACCAGGTGCCATAATTTTACAAGATGCTTAAGACCGTAATTTACCAACATCCTAGTAAGGTATTTTGTAAAAATTTGGTATTTTGTTTTATTCAAGGTTTGCAAATGTTGTATATTCCCTTTAAGATTAAAATCTTACTTGGCGTACATTGTACATGTACCTTAAAATACATGACCGGGTTTTTTTTGTTCTTGCAAGTACCTTTGCAAAAGTGGACCTTTTGCAAATTGAGTACGTGTGAACTAAAAATTGGTGCAGCAAAGTAGCGAGGGTAAATAGTGCAGAATTTTGGATTTGAACTTTTCAATTTTTTTTTACTTTTTAATTGTTCGACTGCCTTTTACCATGGAAAAAAAAAAGGAACAAGGGAAAAGGAACGATACATGTTTATGACCCCCCGCAAAATTAAAACTTGAGGATTGGGACGAATTCTGTACTAAAATGATAAGATACCAAAAATAGTTATAATAATTTAAATAGATTTGGTATTAACAAAACTTGACTGGGTATATGTATGTTGTTATATCAAAAGACCGCTTTTTGTCAAGCATTGTTTATCCTGTAGATAATATACAAATATGTGACATAATCACAAAGTGTATTTTTTGCCTTGTACAAAAAAAGTTGTAGATCTTAACCATATGCTTAATGATGTAATGTACCTATTGTAGATATTTTCTGTTATTCTGTGTTTATCTCAAGAAATGTTGGAACCGTCATTTGCCTTAGCAAAATATGACTAGTCAGAAATTATTGAACCTTATGTAGGCATTGATTTTATTTATCGGCATTTATTAATATAAACAACGTGAGTGGCAGTTAACGCTTAAGC